TGGTGGCCGGCCTCCCCCCGCGCTGTGCGGCTGAGCAGGGGCCCTGGCCTTTCTGACCGCCAGCCTGCCAGTGGCTGTGGGAAGTGAGCTGCAGCCCCCCTAGCTCAGGACTAGCCCCCAGTGCTATTTTGCGGTTGGGCTGTAGGCCTGGCCTCAGTCCCACATGACCACAGCTGGCTTCTGAGTCACTGGAGTGAACAGATGTGAGCACCTGCTAAAGGGGCGTGAGGGCGGCTGCTGATCCAGTTCGGCCACCCCGCCAGCCTGCCAGTGGCTGTGGGAAGTGAGCTGCAGCCCCCCTAGCTCAGGACTAGCCCCCAGTGCTATTTTGCGGTTGGGCTGTAGGCCTGGCCTCAGTCCCACATGACCACAGCTGGCTTCTGAGTCACTGGAGTGAACAGATGTGAGCACCTGCTAAAGGGGCGTGAGGGCGGCTGCTGATCCAGTTCGGCCACCCTGCCCTAACATGTGTAAACCCTTTGGAGTGGCCCCACGAAGGTGTCTGATCCGTGTGACCTCTGGAGACCAGCCCTGGCACACGGCCCCACTCGTGTGCGAGACACAAGAACCCAGCTCTTCCCTCTGCAGGGCTCCAGCGACAGCAGACCAAAGCGCCAATGGCTCCGACCAGAAAGCTGGTGTGAGCGCAGCGGTGCCTTGACTCGGGAGGGGTCTCTGGCGCGGTGGGCGAGACACAAACCCAGCTCTTCCCTCTGCAGGGCTCCAGCGACAGCAGACCAAAGCGCCAATGGCTCCGACCAGAAAGCTGGTGTGAGCGCAGCGGTGCCTTGACTCGGGAGGGGTCTCTGGCGCGGTGGGATTCCCCAGTTCTTTGCCAGCTTCCTTCTTAGCTGCCCTGTTGAGAGATCCCCACCCCGGCGACCGAGCCCTCTCCTCCTGGGCGCGGCTACCCTGCTTGTCCTGCGTCAGCCGTGCAGAGGGAGCCGCTGCCCTGCGCGGCGTGGCCGCTAGGGGGGGGCGGGGGAGGGGGGCGGGCAGGCTCGGA